TTACTTATTGTATTGATATGTAACTGTCGTGGCAACTGCCGGGATGAATTACTCTTTTTTTTATTCCTCGTCTGATTTAAACACTTGTAAATTGCCTCGGTATACACATTGGTTTTCAAAAACCGTAAAGAAAATGCGTCGTAATCGCTTTTTAATTTATTCTGAGTGAAACACGCACCATAAGGTGTACACCGCGGGTAATAATAATATATACATGTACTTACAAAAATGAAACTCTCCGTGTTACAGACAAAATAGTACGTGCGAAACGTTTACATTAATTTTTTATTTTAAACGAATACACGTCTTTCTGTATGTATAGTGTGCACACACGTGGATTAACATAATTTTTGGTAAAAAAAATCATTAAAAATATTTATTTTTTCCCTCTTTACGTACATTTTTTTTACAAAGAGTTCCGTACTTTATTCTTATTTTTGTATTTTCAATTAAATAGTTCTAAAAAAAATACATTTTGTTGGTATACGTGTGCATGCACCAAATCTTAGCTTATTAACAATATCAACCTAGTAAAAATCAGTGATGGTATGTGTTCTATGGTAAAATAAACTACTGTGTTTCTTCTTTTATTTACTTACCAACCTCGTTATAAATAATGGTTTGTACCTACTTGAAAAGTTCAACTTAAAAATATTAAAAAAAATAAAAATAAAAACATGAAAGTTTCAAGTGGAAAACCGTGCATCCACGCAAATACAAACACGAAGGGAAATATTAATAACTTACAACTCGAGGAAAAGGAAAGTTTACTTGAAGTTTAATTAATCACATTGCTGAATGTGAACAAAATAAAAAAGGTACGCCTCTTTGAGTATTTAATTATTTTACATTTTTTCTCCATCTAAATATTAATTACAATTTCATTGAAAAACCAAATGATTTTTTTATTCAAACAAAATTTTAAATCGTAGCGATATATTATTGAAAAATCTTGCAAGGGAGAAAATCCATTAATGTTTCTGTTTTTTATTATGCAAGCAACAGTGTTTGTCATTAGCAACGAAAAAGAAATAATATCACAAGAAAGAAATATATCAAATGAATAATGGAAAAAGAAAAAAACTGTATTATTAAAAATAATAAATCAAAATAAACTTTTTTTTATTTATTTTAATTTTATTAAATGCTTAAAAAAATCCATTAATGTACTAAAATAAAACTATTTTAATTAAACAATTAGCAAAAATGTAAAACAACATTCAAGTAATAAATAACAAAATATTTAATCAACATAGTTGGAAAAAAAATTATAAAAATGGATTAGGAACATAATAGTTATATGCAACGGATGAAAAATTTCGATGCCGAAAATTTGCTTTGAACTGTACACGAATTTATGTCATGTAATTAGATGAGGTATATAAAAAAACTTGTTGCGTTTAATGACAAAAAAAAAAATACAACAAGAGTTGGTAAATTCCATTATGATAATTATACATTGTTTTAATCGTTATACAGTTGAAATACTATAACAATAATAATATTAATAATAACCCATGTCAATTTTTTTTCATAATAAATCTTGTTTTCATATCCAAATACATAATTCATATGACGAGCCAGATGAAATCTATTACTCTTTCAATATAGTCACATAAGAGTCCGTAAACCTAATTAAGCGTAGGTAAGCGTAATAATAAAGTAAATAATATTCGTACGACATTTTTTTTATTTTTTCGAGACAAACGTCTGTATTGTGATCGCATGGGCATCTTAGTCGGTACTGCGATTGGACAAAAGAGAAAACAAAACTCCCCAGCCACAATATCCTACGTTGTACTAATATACAAATCTCGTAAATTTGGACCTCAAGTACACACTTATGAATAAACAAATAGTCGGTGGCGACAGGCTGCAAGTGTGCACATGTGACGGCGATGGCGTGTCATTAATCTCTGCAAAAGGTTGTTAGCCGTTGTGTCGTGTCGAAGGAAGTAAGGAGAAAAGGAGAAAGACGGCGACAGCGAAAAAAAAATAAATAAAAACGATCCACTCGATCAGAAAAGAATACTGTAGTAGGGATGGCAGGGGGCTTAGACATATAGTATCTATATAGACGAGTGCCAGTGCGGCGACCACACACGCCACACACAAGAGTAATGATTTCGTTGATCTCTTTAACCCAACGACGATACACTTGTATTATACTACTAGTACCTACTACTATCTTCTATATGGTGTAATGATTAGGCATGTGCCACGCGGATGTGTGTGTAGTTACTAGTCATGGATACATGCGATGTACATTTTACGTTTATACACACACATATAAATCTATTGATCGACGGGCGTATCAATACACACACACACACACACACACACACACACACACACACACACACAAAAGTCGCGATTCTGAATACTCAATCATTTACATATACCCCGCCTCCATTCGTCAGTACAGGAAAAAAAAACGTTATTTGTTTTTAGAACCGTTTTCGACGTGTATGCAACAAGCACTAGGCCATACCTCATCTGATTACCATTATGTAACAACTACACAAATGAACGAAAAAACGTTCAATGATCAATGTTCTTTAAAATATTACTTTATTACTAATTTTTTCTTGGATTTTTTTTTATAATTATCTGTTACCAAGTTTGTGCATAGAGTTATTAATATTACAATGACACGGGATGGATTTTATTATTTTATTCGTTTTTTATGTACAAGTATAACATGTTAACATCATTCAAAAATATAATACATCATGTAAAATAATAATAGTTGCATCTTTTAATTGTTATGAAAAACATTATGTTTTTATAAATACACGCACGTAATAAATTAATAGTACAGGGAAAAACCTACGTAGAGATTAAAACAATTATAAAGTTCTAAAAGTTCTTATATATAATATTTGTAAATATTTGAAATGTATAAAATTAACTGCTAGTGAAATTAATAAAAAATAATAAAGCACTTTCATTATACTGTCGATCCAAATAAAATGTACTACTTAATCGTTTTGTTAATATATAAATAATTTAAATACAATTTATCATGAATATTTTTAAATACATTTTTCACTTTTAGCTCTGGTCCGAATTTTTCGACAAATAATATTTTTATTGTAAATATAAATATTTTTAAAAACTATTCTATATTATTATTAATATTAATATATGACTGTAACCTAGACAATAATAAGCAATAAAACGAAATATTTTAGCGATGACTTAAAATATAATAGTCACATACAATGTAAGTGCAAATGTAAATATAATATAATATATATATTAACGTAATCCCAAATTATCATTGTATATGTTAGCGGTAATGTATGTAATATGTTATTTTATTAAATAACTAGTTATTCTATAAAATTCCTAAACATGTACGTTAATATATACATTACACGGTTTTACAAGTTAATATATAGAATATCGATTGATTTTTCGCTAATGAATGAAATTGTTATCGTTAGATAGAGCACCGGGACTGGATTAGAATCCAGCTTAATACTAACTGGATCCGAATCCCAATCACTAGGTAATGGTTTTTTTTTTTTTAAATGCACATGTCAACAAAAGTGCAACACAAAACGGTGTATATGTTTAAAAAATAATTTACTTTGTAACTCTAAATGCCACCCAAAAAGTTCATGTACTATTATATAAATTGTAAATTGTAAAATAAATAATAATTTAATATCATATAATTGTAACTATCATATAATAATAGAATAAGTTTATAATACTATTATAAAAAAATATTAATAACTATTGATTTTTTATTTTTATTTATAATTTGTTTAAGATTTTAATAATTATAATAAATTGACGTGAAATAAACGAATATTTATATTTAATATAGTAAACGTTTTAAATATATTAACCAAACCCTTATTGTTAGTTTATAAAATATCTAGTTAGTATGTTGAATTACTAGTTATTTTATAGAATTACAGAATTTCATACATTAACGCTAACATATATATATATATATACACACACTCACAATACAAGCTTATGATTACATATTTCTTTTTTAACTATCGTTAATATTCTGTAACTCAAATGACGGGGGAGGGTTAAGTTTTCGAAAATACTCGTTTAATAGGGTCGCTTCGTTAATTAATCGCGACGGATATAATCGAATTAAACCTACCAAAATGAATTTCCCTCGAGAAATCACTTCACGGTAAAATACGCATATGTGAATAACGCTGGTATACTTAACCGTCGCATTAACGACTCACAACGAATAAATAAATATCAAACCAAGGGATTCTTTTAAATTATTCATACAGTCTGCAAGGTTTATTCAATATTGTTTGAGGAGCACATTCTTCATCATTGTTTGCGTGATAGCTTTTATAAATATTCGAATACAGAGATATTAACTCACCAATGGTGCAATAACTCGAAGATATTAGAAAAAAAATCGCACCGTTACATAAACTTTGTATACTTGCAACTATATAACAGGAAAGATATATAGTTTATATCGTCTTTTGTTATATAAAAAAAAAGAAAGCCCATGGTTGAGTTGTTCCAGGGGAGATTTTTATTATTGTTTTTATGCTATATTTTAAAAGATAATGGCCTTTAAAATCAACAGCTCCGTTAAGTTTTGTTGTGAATCAACGTTTAATGCCAGACATTATTTTAATTACATTGATAAATAATATAAAAGCCTAGACATTTTATTGAAACGAAAATGATACAAAGGTATAAACCAAATGAAGAAGTTTTTACAATCTCTTATTGTTTTGAAGATACAACTATTTTTTAAAATTTATTGTAAAATTTGTTTTACTTAGTACAAAATAAACATGCACATAGATGATATAATTCCTAGTAATTAGATTTCATCATATTAGTTAATAATAATTAAAAAGTTGATTAAAATATTAAAAATGTTTAAATATTATTATATACCTATTATCTATATAACAAACGTATGAATAAAATAAATAGTAATTATCGACTGTCTTATTGGTTTAATTTTAATAACATAAATTAATTAAATTTACCACGTGTCCGGTTATGTTTCTGTACCGAACCCATTTTCCCAGCTTAGGTCTCCAATACTCAATCACAAATGTTTCCGTATATTCCTGACCTTGTCCATTGCCAAACCTGCCCTGAGTCTCCACCGCAGTGATAACTCTAACCTCGTGTAAATTTACTTCAAGCCATTCTTTGATATCGTTTGTTACCGGGTCTTTCGGACACCAAGCACCTCCTTCTTTTTCAGTGCGTACTCTGAAACAAAACGTTAAACTTTAAATTTTGTGATCGTTAAAACATGACCTAGATTTAAGTATAAAAAACAGAGGCTGAAAATGTCAAAAGGATTTCTGCCGTATCGGTAAAAAGTCAACTGCTGACATTATAATCCATTTCATCGTTTTATGACAGCTGAGCAACAAAAAAAAAGAAAAAAAAGAAATCCTTCTCCGTTATTATTGGCCTTATTGTTTGGAGCTAAAAGTTGTACGTGACCAGCATGTACATTGCTAAGGGTCAAATTATATATGCATTATATTTTATGTATATATATGTATAATAATATACATCAATACTTTTTATGGTGTATATATACCAGCGGCATATAACAAATGGTTTTTGGTATAAAATGTGTGCCCGTTATAGAAAACGTAAATTATGAATACTAATTTATATTTATAATATTTTTATTTCTAAGTATAGTGTTAAATCGTAGACCTTTCAATCTTAGTAATATTTACGTTCGTAAGTTAAACTAAAACAAAATATATCGACTTAGAACATAATAATAAGTTCAATAACTATAGCATGACATATTCATGACAAAAATCTAAATTACTATTTTACCATTATGAACATATTTTATTCGTAAATACTACATATCATTGTAGTATGTCTAAAAAATGAATGCAGAAAAACATATAAACATACATACATACATATAGCTAAATACATGCTATTCGAAATATGATGTATACATAGTACAGCACAGCTTAAAGGAAACTATTACGCTATATGATACCCGTGGTTAATATTATATGTAATCAAAAATAACTTTCGTTATACTCTTGTAATAAGTTGACTAACTTTTATGTAGCCCATTTTGTTAGAATTTTTGAATAAATCATCAAAGAATGCATATAGGGTTTTAAGACGTATAGGTTTATGTCACAATCTATCAGATAATACAGTCACTTATTTTAAACACTACAAAAGTAAAATAAAGCCTCTGTAGGGGACAATATAGCAGGTAAATTATGATGTATAAATACGACATTTACATAATTATTACTACAAATTGTAAAAAGAAAAATATTTTTAAAACATATGTATGAAAAAAAAAAATTAAATTAAACTGAGTACATACATTCCAATATATTATTCATATATATATAATATCAAATTCAACTTCAAATATTATAAAATAACAGAAATTATATTGTGCATAATATATAACTATACGGATTAATAAATTGATAGGTAATTTAAACTTCTTTTTTAAATTAACAATGGTCGCATAAATTAATTTACTATTCGACTGTAATGAAATCATTAATTATTGTATACGTAAATCATAAATAAAAAAAGTATTCTACTTTAGTATCTTTATGGTTATTATGGTCCTCTTCAATCATTTACTATTTCGCTACCTATTAAACTCCCGTGTGTAACGCATGTTGAATTCCATGTTTTTTTATTTTTATTTTTTTTTTTACGATAAGTAAAGTCGACTGTTGGAAACAGTGGCACTGAAGGGTAGAAAAAAAATCGAAGCTTTATAAACGCTTAAAGGCGACAACAATCGGTCCGTTCGAAATTAAGTCCTCCTCCCCACCTTATCCCACCACTCAATGCTATACAAAGCTGGGCTTAAGAAAACCGGCCGACCGTAAAGCTGATTTTTAGAGTAGACTTCTTTTTATCCTATATATAGATCTAATACAGAACTGATGGGCTGAACTTCTTTTTCTTTCATTCCAGTTTGAAAGGCACAACCGAATAATGGGTAAGCAACCATAGTGGACCCAGGGGAGGAGAATCTTTACCTGTTTTTTAATGCCACCGGACTTTCTAAAAGCCCAAAGAATTTTGTTCCATTTATCCAAGCAACTTTTATTTACTGTGTTTAAATGAATAACTAAGTGAAATTGTACGCGTAATCTTGTTTTTATAATCAATTGAGTTATTAAGTATAATATTCTTATATGCACTATGTTACTTGGTACAATGTACAACTCATACTCATATCATGTATAATTTTAATAAACACATACGGCACGAGTGCACACATATGCATTTCACTTTGAGTTTGATTTAAACGACATCGTTTGTTTTTTTTTCTACAAAACCTGGGACGCCCATAATCAAGGAACCAATTAAACCCATCTAGATGACAGTCAAAACGGATGGACGACCATATTTTGTCAGTCGTGATATTATTATTTTTTTCAATGTTTTTTTTATAAACCACTGGAGACGTCCCCCAAAAATTATAATAAAAACTTGGATGGCAAATTAACTTGGGCGTTTTTGTTGGCATCGTTTCCGTCAACCGTTGGCAACCCCATAGAATCGTTCAATCATACACGTAATCACCGCAAGGCGAATATTAAGAAAACATTTTTCATTGACAGTAATTTTTCATTGACAATTTTTCAGAAACCAAATTATCCCAAATTAAGAGTTTTTATCCAACGAATATAGTTGTTTAATTTAAACAAATTATGTCAAAAATAATCAAAATGCTAATGAAATTACAAAATTATACGTCGACTCATTACTACTCGTTTAAAATTGTAAAACATACATTTATTTAAAATAAATGGACGAAAAAAAATTTCAGGATAATATGCAAACAGAATAAATATATTAGCTTTGGCTTGAGTCATCATAATATTTAAATATATTTCTTTTATTTTTACAGTATAGTAATCTCATGTGGATCTCAGTAGATATAGCATTTATTTTTATGGTAGTGAAATATTTTAATATTTAATCCACATTACAGACTATTAAAATGTTGAAATTACGTGCGTTACATTGAAAGTTTGTAGAATATGGTCATTTAATGAATCCCATGATTAATAAGGATATAGTTGGCCGCAGAAAAACAGTGGAAGGGATACTAGAATCTCTATAGTTATAATATTACTTCCGCCTGTTTATTCGATAAAACAAATTGTAAACCAGGGATAATGCGCTTGCGGATCAAACGTGACTAGGGTTCATTACTGAAGTTGTAATCACAGAAATTGATTGGGTACAAATTCAATCGGATTTTCGTGAAAGGAAAATAATCGCCTGCAGGAGCTGTAAAGCGAGTAGTATTCTCTATGCCTAAGACAACGCTTAGGGTACTGAGTCGGTGTACGGAACACCAAAAATGTGTTCTGTCTTAAGTGAGAACGACGTACCGAAGAAAATATCCCACATTTACTGAGTATACGTTTCTATTTGCCACGTTATGCACTACTATGGACAACAAAAACATTTATATCTATATTCTTCATGGGATCAGATTTTTCCTAGACGTTTTTCGTTTTTGTTAACGCGGTCAATGCGATATTCCCATGGCGGAGGAAAAATAAAATAAAAGTAGCAAGTTTAAGTATATATATCCCGCCGAGTAGGTGGTATATACGTGTGACCGCGAAAGTTTTTCAGACATATTTTTATCCGTTTGCCTGTGCACATCGTCCCACTGTTACCCGTAAACTTTAACTTTTTACTTTCATCTCTCTTCGGAATCACGGGAGTCAGAAATATTTATTTTCTCCCCTTTCTCGCCAACACTACATTTTGTCTTATTTGCTCAGCCACCTTTCCTCAGAGAATACGCGAAACAGACGAACAAAAAAAAAAAAAAAAAAAAAAAAGAGAAAGAGAAATATATTTACACATTACATACATGAAATAGAAATTGATAAAAATGAATACTCTGAAAACAACCAAACGAAATTTTCAGCGTTAACAATATTGGTATATAACATAAAACTATGTATGATTTAATATTTTATTTTTGTTTTACTGAATAGTAATGATGTTGGTAAAAAGCAACCAAATGTCAACAGGCGATAATCGAAAATAAATTGTCGTTAGGTGTACACAATGAGTGTCCCTTCAGAAAACCTCACATTTGATGAAAAAAAAGTAAATAAATAAAAAATTATGACCTAAAAAAAGCCTTAAATATTTTGATTGATTGTTTTTCTAACGACACCATGGAAATCAAAATCCCATGTATTTAAAAAATAAATCTTTAAAATTAAAAAATATTAAAACCATTTTAATAAAACTAGCTTCTTCTGTCTTGAAATTGTAACTTAACCGAAATAAATATAAGTAAAAGTACATCAGAAAGAAATCTTTTTCTTATTTTATTTTCCTATCGGTCCCTCCCTATACAGATAACGAGTAACGACCATTAATATTCATTAGATGAAACTTTTCGCTACCGTCATTTTATGTGCACGGCGCCTTCAGGCAACCGGGAAATATTGAGTTTTTTCATACTCAATAATACATACATATATATATATATATGCGTGTATGTACTGAAAGAATTGCGATAGATATAAATCAGACAAGCCTTAGGCAAAGCAAACTAAAATATTTTCATTCTTGGAAAAAAGAGGAAAAAGCCTATGACACATCTTGCCTGCGACACTTAGAGTAAAATAATTTTTCAAAGATTTTCTCATTAATCTCGAACACTACATATAAATGAAACCTTTAAGATAGATGATAAAGAATTAAATCTTCGTATTTAAAGTATTTTTTTAACCGGTATTTAATAGTAAAAGGTACAAAAGCCACACAAAATCTGTTTAAAACATTTGATTTTCTTTGATTGCCATTCACAGAAAAGTTTTCTTTTGATGTCTCTCACTCACATATATTTCGAGGAGCAAAAAAGTCAGGACTCAAACAAAGCAAACGTATAACCAAAGGGATAAAGAAACTTTCTCTTTATACTCCAGCATATTTCTTGATGGGCGACAGTTTCGGCGAGAGTCAAATCTCATGTCTAAACTTGAGTATTATTATAATATGGTGTCATTCATAGCAACTAAAAATACGGATTGATACAAAATTATTGTTGATTATCTAATGACTTCTAAACTCATTTTAATGCTAAAAACCTTATCACTATATAATATTATAATTTTGAAAATCAAATTTAAGAACAGGAACAATTTATTAATTATTAATTCGTTAAGTTAAATGAAGTTCTTAAAATCAATGTTTTAATATTTAATTTTATTATCATCACAAATAATCTTTATTTTATTCTTATTCAAATAAGATATAAAATAACACAAAAAGAAAATATACCATATACTTGTACCTTAATTATTTTTACAACAAAAAAAAAAATGTAAAGTATCATATACCTATAAATTCCATTTAAATATGTATGAATGAATATAACTGTTCCTAATTTTTAATAGTATTTATATTGTTTTTAATGTGTAATTGAAAAGTTAAACAACTAATTTTTGATTAAAAGAAATGAAAAATATTTTTAAGAAAATTCAAGATAAACCATACATTTTTTCCAGACTATGGTATATTATCAGAATAAGGTAAATTAATTTTTTCAACAATGTTGTTTATTTGAAGTTTCCAATATATTATACGATTAGTAGTTACAGGAGTTATCTACTAAGTATTGACTCAATAAGCATTATAGACAGTAGTAGTTCACAGATTTAATGCACCTACTTTTTTCAGGTAATTACATTTAATTTCCAGTGTTTGTTTAACATTAATATTTGTGAGGAAATTTTTGACTCTAAAACTTTTAATCCATCTTTAGCTCAGCGAATGAAAACAAATTGGAACGTCACACGCAAGTTCCAATTAACGAGTTCCTCGGGCATTAGTGGTCAGAGTTCAAAACAAGGGATTCTGACCCTCTCGTTTATTAAATCCATACCAAAAACACAAAGCTTCGGGTTCCGTTTTGTTCACACCAATCCCTTTCTGACCACCAAACTACTTTATATATTGGCATGTCCAAAAAGGGAAGTTTGGATAGTATATACATCTACGCCTACCAATGGGATATTATAAGCATTCGACCCAAATAAACACTGAGTAGTACAAAGAAATAATGAAGCATTGAATTAAAATATCTTTTCTTGGAAAGGTAGATAAAAATTCTATATTTACCCTCCGTATTTCCATTTTAAAAATATTCTATAAATTCGCATGTACGTTTGACACGTATGTATATTTTAATGAAAAAAGGGAAATTAAAATATTTTTTAAAATTCACAGAAAATATTGGGTAATTGATATTCGTATACGTATGTAATATATACCTACATTTAATATATGTTTAGTCATTGCTATATTAAGCACTAAAAAAAAAAAAAAATGTTTTTTAAGTACAAACTTTCCGGGAGACTGAACCACCTGAGCTTTTATCGACATATCGAAAGTATCTATAAAGGGTGTTTAAATGGTAGCCTTGAGGCGTACGTTTTTTTCGTGTTAGAACGATGACAATAAAAGAAGAGGGTAGGTGAAATGAACATATCAGAAGGGTGCAAAATTGTTTTTGTCCCCTTGCTATTCTATCGAAAGTAGAAGGATTTATACCAGGGAAAACCATTTCGTGTAGGTGTTGCCTATTTTCAAAAACGTATTCCACAAAAAACGCCGTAAACTTTGAGTTTACAAAACAGTATAACTGCAGCAATTCTTTCACAAAATAAGGAAAACAATAATTTAACGGACGATATCCGTGGGTTAGAAATTGCCCCCATAAACATTCTGTCACGTCCGACAGTCAATTATAATACGACATATATATATTAGTCGGACCCCAAAAGATATGTTATTAAAAATACTCTGTATGCATTTCGCGTGCAAACTGCAGGGCGTGAGAAATAATACATTATTATTATTATTAACGGTGCTCACCTGGCGTTCTGCGGTCCGACATTTCCGTATTCGAAAGAAGAACTAGCGTTTAGATCGCTGTTTTTTATTGCACCGGACTCCATGCCGAGTGCTGACATGCATTGAGCTGAAAAAAAAACAATATTCAAATAAATATACAAACAATGACCTCATGAACGTATTTCAATACAAGGGAACCCTGCTGATACTAGATCAGGTTTCACTGTTCCGATTATGTAGGTGTTCGCATGAGAACATATATATTTATATTATATATTTCAGTCGACTGAAGAGCTAATAAAAACAACTTAACACCACATTTTCTTGTAGTCATTCATCATAAACGTATATAATTATATTCATATATAGGTATCTTCACTGACGATTATTCGAATAAATAAAATATTGATAATGTAGTAAAATATGAACGTATGTATGATAATTCAAACGTTATTTTTCGTTGATGACACTGGTGTTTGTTATACGAAGCTTCGCGCAATAAAAATATAGATACTAAATCGTCGCTATCTAAACTACAATCTCCCAAAAATTTTTCAGTGTATCCCTAAAACTTGCAAAAGTTTTGTTCGAATATAAAAGTATAACTACATACATTATTTGAGTGGCAGATAAAATAAAGAAAGCACAACAGCAACATCTTTAGTAACCATTTTGGAAAATCGTTTTAGAAAACCACAAACAGTCTGGTTAGTTGAAACAATATACTAACGTGGACGGGGATTATAAGGGGAATAAGAGTGAGATAGAGGAGCACGTGTGAAATATTTCCACGAAGATTTCAGAGACAATAATGGTTGCGAATAATGAATTTACGAACTTCCGTTGTCTATGGGAGGCATAGAGCTTCGCAGTCTGGTGGGAATATATTTGAAAGTTTATGCGTACTATTTTTTAAGCTATACATAGTATAATATTGTAATTTTTAAAAATAAATAAAGTTTGAGAATAAATGAATATATTCTGACCATCGTAGACGACAAACAAAGAATACGCACGAATATATTATTTTCTTCTTTCAAAGTAATTTTTTTTTCTATATCTTAATTTATTCGGAGTTATCGTAAAATGATGACAGTGATATTCTATCGCAGCAAAATAATATAAATTATGATCCAGTTCTAGGACATATATGCCGAACGCACAATGTAAGCGCGAGCATTAATGGACGCGGACATCGAGCGTTGGGTTTTGGCTTTATTCAAAACTTATAATGAGAGTCCTGTAGTAGTCGTGGGATATATTTCGCCGAATGTAATATTATATAGTTGCCGATGGCGACGGATGAATACATTGGCGAAGTTTGATACCCAGTCGCGGTCTTTAATGACGGCGAGAAACCAATACACACACATCTTCGGGGGATTTAAATAATGCTGGTCGCATGAAATGTAAATAAATAGGTTGCGGATACTGCGCTATGCCTGACGACAATGTGAATATTTATTATATACGAGTACAAGATTTTGCGTTCCATGTATACACATAATAAAAATGCGACCAGATATCTCTGACCACTATTGAAAAACAATCGATTGTGTTGAATATTTTTTTGCCCCTTCAAAGAATTGCCAAATACATTACAAAAATAATATAAGCACATTTTCATTTTATTTATGTGTAAAAACTTCGCCAATTGGAATACTATGTATATTATTGTAATAAGGAATCCATTTATCGATTATAAGAATTGCATAGGCCGATTGCCAATACGCAAAATAAGGGTTAGAATAATAATAAAAAAATTTATTTTGATATGTACAACAAACATTTTCATGTAACATATTCTACATTTTATGTAATATATATTAGGTTGGATACGTATACGATAAAAAAATAATATAATAATTAGCTATAATGAATTACAACTAACAACAATGTTTTGCAAAATGTAGCCAAACATTTATTATTGATTAGTATCGGTATATCAATTTCGTGTAAAATCGAATTAAAAATTAAAATTAAATATTTTAAAAAAAAATGTATGAAACTTATTTACGAGAAACGAAAAAAGTTCATATTAACATTTGTGCAACGTTTACATAGTGAAAATAATAATATATTCTTCAAAGAAACTTTAATAATTCTCGAAATTGAAATTTATGGGTTTATCTACCTAAACACCTAGTGTGTAGTACAAAAGGCAAGTGGGGTGGTAGAAAATACAGCGGTAAAACTGCGAAATTAATTTGGAACACAAACCCGTCGAATTATAACTTTCGATCGAGGGATTTCGGACTAAGAAATCGGAAAGGTGTTGTAGAAGTAAAATACAGTTTTGGCATAACGCAAGGGTAATCAATCGGATATCGAGATATGTTATGTTATGTGTACGGCACACAGATCCGTTGCGGTAACCGACCGTGCAATATCCACTATATATCTGCTTTTTGGGTGGTGGTGATTGTGGGATGAGAGGCATACGTGCGAAATTACGTTTGCGATTCGAGTACGTATTTGACATTGCCACCGAATCCTATAATACTCGTACATCCCGAGTTCTATTAAATGTACATAGGGAATAAAACGTACAATAGTATTTATTAATTACACGCGTATAGTAGTAGGTGGTGTACACGCCGACCACGGTCCGAGGCGCGCGTATACACCGCGGTATCGGCGGGTGGCGACAACCGCTCTCGGGGGGGGGGGGGGGAGTCACATGTATCGTATGACACACAAGCGCACACTGTATGACCACACATTGTGTACGCATCGTAAATTCAATACTCTGATTAATAACGGACGATTATCGCAGCGGTAGACGGTGGTTTTTATACGTACCTACCTAACCTACCTCCGGTGTGAGGTTTTTGTTTTTTCAATAAAAGAAACGCTCGCCTGTACAAAAATCGTATTATTATTATTTTAACTATAATGCCTGTACGAGGTACAAAAGAAATCTTTTTAAATTTCGTTTTTAAACGCGTGGTGCGTTCTCGCGGTCTCGTACATACGCGACGCATGCAGTGCTCGTGATATTGTTCGTCGCAGTACAATGATAATAATTAAATAATTACTATCGCACGCCGATCATCGTCATTAAAACATCGTTACACATGTAATATAGGTGTAAACACATGCTCATACACACACACCGATCATAAATCAACCGTCGTCGTTGCTGAATATCGTTTAAACGGCGACGATGATGCTTGAGGCGAGCGTATAATATAAAATGTCACAACATTTTGTTATTACATGTATATTGATTATTCGTATACATTATTCGTAATATCCCACGTAGGTACTATCAAGAGGTGGAGAAAAATATCACATACATCAGGGATTGGATGTCCCGTGAAATAACGATAATATATCATTCAAACATTTAGTAAAGTATTACCAATAAGTAATTCCTTCACCCCGGACCTTTTCATGCCACATATTTATCTTTTTTTTTTTTTGCGATTTCTATTATTGTATGTAAACATAAATTTTAAAAATTATGGTTATAAAAAAAACCACAAAAAAAAGTTCAAGTACTTCGTAAAAACATATTTTGCAAATCGCAATGACGAATATTTTACTAACCAATCGCACGTCTACTGTACCAAAATCCCATGAGAGAGAATAATGGCTTAAAATTTCGAAACTCTCTTTCACAATTTTAATGAAAATAAAAATAAAAACGGTTACCATGAATTAATTAATTTTAAAACGAATACAGTACTCACTAAATTTAATAAATAATTTTGTTTTGTATATGTGCATACAATAACTTGTCGGTTAATAGTTCTGGAAAAATTATATTTTTATCGAAATTGATTAAACAATCGGCAGTGTTTCCACATTATACTAAATAAAAAAAATCATCGGTTCATCAGAAGAAACTTAAAATAATAATATATATGAATTAGTTAGAGAAAATACATTAGTATTCTATTGAAAACTCATAGAGCATAATAGGAAAATAGTATACAAAATATCAAAATGGATTTAAGCCCGAAACAATGATGTATGAGTATATCCACGCATTCATTTTTTAATTTTATTAGTCGATGCCGGTCGACAGTTAATACTGCACTGCTTCAGAGACGTATTTAAGAATTTTTCGCTCCAGGTAAGAAAAAAAACGCCACCTTCCCAACCTAAATTTCTTTAGCAATAGGTGTATTTGAAAAAAAAAATAACGACTACATAAACCGATAAATATTACGAACTAAAATTATTATCATTGGCACGACTGTTTAAACATGTCTACGAAATATTTGTGGCCATAAAATCCTTTAATATATTATCAGTTTCCATTCTGGTTTCATCTATTCTGTGTATCTCAATTCTGAAACTAAAAAACTACAATATACTTTTCTATGTCGTGACTCCTGGTATTATCAATGCATTTTTCGTGACAAATGTAAACTACAACAATAATTTTATTAGTAACATTACATTTTTTTATTACCCAAACGAACCTAGGTACCGTATTATATAAAAATTCTTTCAAAAATGTACCCCCCTTTCCTGGGGCTTATGATCCCCTAGTTCCCTTGAATACGTCTTTGCATTGCCTATTTAAAAATTTATAAAGCATGACAACGCAATTATATTGTTATCCGTTACACGCAGATAGGTACAATGATTTTAAAAATTAAATTCAAATTATTCATAAGGGAAAAAATACTTTTTTTAAATTTATCCAATCGGGTATATAATATATTATGCCCTGTATAAAGTATTACGTACTATTTATCAATTGGTTTTACCGAAAAACGCTGAGATAGTGAAACGCATTGCAAGACACGTCACGACGGGCGGTTGCGGAATATTGTTCGGTCGTAATTCACCGCGACGAACCGTTAAAAATAATCAGTTTTGAGCACGCTACGACTTATGTTGCATTTTATCTGCTCATAATTTCTTCAGCTTAAGCAAAAGTCACCCCTCCGGCGGCGTAAATATCGTCGTTATTTAGTTTCCCAACATACATCCAAGAAACGCAAATACACCTAGAATTATATAGGGTGATGGAAATGCACCGAAAGTATTTGTTTATTTTTATCGTGAATCGTTGTACAGACCCGAGTCACCCTATATAAATATTCGTGTACGTATATATATATATATATATATGAGTGACGTACACGTTGGCGCACCGATCGGACAACC